ACAGACAGACAGACAGACAGACAGACAGACAGACAGACAGACAGACAGACAGACAGACAGACAGACATTGTATCAGTTTCTAATTCACTCCCACGTGCGAAACTCAGTGCCCCAGTTCTATTGCAATGCCCAACTATATTATTCCTAAACGTTTGACATTTCATCTGCTATAAAATACAGGCTGTTGATCTTTGTCCGTTCACGTCAGCACAGACGTGGACAGTGGCAAAATGCTCGCTGGCTCGCTCTCTCTGTCTCTGTCTCTGTCTGTCTCTGTCTGTCTGTCTCTCTCACTCTGTCTCTGTCTGTCTCTGTCTGTCTCTCTGTCTCTCTCTCTCTCTCTCACTCTCTCTCCCCCTCTCTCTTTCTCTCTCTCACTCTCTTTATCTATCTATCCCTCTCGATCTCTCTCTCTCCCTCTCTCTCGATCTCACTCTCTCTATATATATATATCTCTCTATCGCTCTGTCTATTACTCTGTGTGTCTCTCTCTATCTATTTATCTTTGTATCCCTCTCTGTCTACCTCTGTATCTGTCTGTCTGTCTATATCACCCTCTTCTCTCTCTCATCCCCTCTCCCTTTCAACTCACGGGTGGGGGTGAAGGTGGAAGGGGATGTCAAACATACTCGCACTTGATCGTTTACCCCTCCGCCTAGTGTTGGACCCCCAAAGTAATCAAATATGAAACGATACACTCCCACCTACATCCGATTTGACTTTCCAAACAACGAGATAAATTGACGACATAGACACAGACAAGTCGAAAACACTAAACGCCTTCGTACCCTCAAACCCCACCCCCTGACTAAAAACAAACAAACAACCAAAAGTTCATCATTATCACCCTCATCATCATCCTCATAGTTCGGAAAACAAAGTAGGAGGGAGAGTCTTGTATGAATATCAGACAAAATAATACAACAATATAAAATGTTTAAAAATTTGTTTTATAGACAAAGCTCAACGTTTCGCCTCGAGGGTTTCCTCAGGAGCAACTGAGAGAAAAACTAAATGGGCGCTGTATACTAGCACGGAAATGGGCCTAACGAAGAGGGTCTTAAGATTACGTGTGGTTACAGACTAGACGGAAATGACTCAGAGGGAGCCAGGCAAAGGGGCTAATTATAAAGAGATTGGTGGTAGTCCAGCAAGAGTATCAAAGAATTTTATCTCTACGAGAGATCACCATCGCCATTATCAATCTCTAGCAGTCATATTAGACTCACTAGATTTTCCAAAGCTGGACCCCCCCCCCCCCCTAATAAAACGGCACAACCCCATAGTGTCCTTACTTTGATGACGTCTATGACGGTGCAGCGGGGCTCCAGGTCCGCGTCCTTTTCGATGCCCTCGTCGTCCGCGGTGCCGGCCTCGGGGTCGTAGTCCAGGGAGCAGTCTGCGTTGGTCATGGTGGCGATGAGAGACTCCAGGCCGGAGCTCAGCTGTCGCTCCTCGCTGGCCTCGATGCCGTAATCCAGGGCCTCGAAGATGGCTGTGCCCAGGGCTTGAACCGCCTGTGAGGGAGACAGGAGAGGGTGGTTGGCTTAGTTTAGTTTTAGAAAGAGTTTTACGGCACTTGCAACACAATAATGTCATAATTATAGGTGCCGAAGATTAGAGGTGTTACAATAGAGTGAAAATGGTGAAATAGTATGAGTTTAATGCCCCTATCAACTTACAATAGAGTAACAAACGCGAAAAAAAAGAAGGAGGGGAGATAAAGACGATAGATGTTTGATAGGAAAGAAGAAGCAAACCACACCAGAACACCCGCCAACCATCCATGAGGTTGGTTTAGTTGGGAGTAAGGCAAAGTACATCGATTAAACAATGGCCATTCACTGAACTATGAAACATGTTTGGGTGGAGAGATATAGGTGAAACCTGGCCACGAGAAAATAATAAATCCTGAACTTTACAGACAAAATGGAAAAAATATATCTTAAAGACTTTCGTATCGACATAACCAAGTCCATTGGTCGAAAGTATGCAGGTGAAGAAATATGTTCCTGGAGGGAACTTTATTACCAAGCCTCTCTAAGCAAAAGAAAATACGATGTACATCGAAACGAAAAGTATTAATAAATACGAACATTTTTAAACTACTTCTTTCTTTTCACTGGGTTTTCTTTTTTCTTTGTCGTTTTGTTGTTATTTTGGGAGGTTTATTTTGTAAAATATTTTAAAGACGGGATGAAAGGGGGTGTAAAACATGACAGCACAACGCACAATCAGAGAGATAGCGGGACAGTTAGGATCTTACATTAGCGAGCTCAAAGTTTCCAAGTATTAAGTGCTAGGGCCGTAAAGGACACATAATATGTCTGATCAATGACTTAAAAGGTGAGCCCACATCCAAAGTGAACATCAATAATCATTTTCAGTTTACTAGAGGTTTCCTCTTAGGTCAGGTCGCCATTCGGTTCCATTCGTGAATAAATATATTACTGAAACACCGGCAATATATCAAAAGTTCAAAGAGCTCATTTCTCCCAACTATCGGACCACATAAAAAGAATATACCTCGGTGCACCAAGTGCACTTTAGTCATACCGGCTTTACCAGCGGGCGCCCAATGTGCTTTCCCCTGGGGGGTCCAATTTCCCTTTCGCTTCACCGTCCCGTGTGTCCCACCACATTCTCCTCGACATATCACCAGCAGGCACTCATCAACCTTAAAAGGATCAGAGGGCCATTTTGTCCACCCTGATTGATGGAAGTACCACAACCCAAATCAGCTGCTCTTCGAGATCTTAAGAGCAATTAAAGACTCTTGTTGAGATTAAGGTCCTTGAGGTAAACTGCTACATGATATATTGTTCGACAAATCCACCCTTTTTTCTAAACACACACACACAAACACAGAGAGAGTGAGAGTGAGAGAGAGAGAGAGAGAGAGAGAGAGAGAGAGAGAGAGAGAGAGAGAGAGAGAGAGAGAAAGAAAGAGAGAGAGAGAGATAGCTCAGCCAAACTTATACAAAGAAACATTCCAACAGCTGCTGCTAAATTCATTTTCATATGTTCACTTAGACTGAACAACTCTTGAGCAATAAAATGGAAGAATGAATTCCTCTAAACACTTAAATATACATAAGCATAGATAGCTCAGCTGCCTTTATCAATAAACTAGCTACCCGCTTGCCTTTAGCATGATAACCTAAAACTTAGGGCTTAGTGTTGACCACCATCTACAGCTTTCGACTAAAACTGTAACAGTCGTGACTAACAGAGGACAGTCTTGCTGTCATTATATGTTTAGAATATATCAACTTAATAGCAATTAAATTTTATTTACCAAAAAAGAAAAAAAATTCAGCTGTTACGATCCTTTAGGGAATCTTTTAAACAATGGCGTATACAACTACACAAATACATAATACATAAGTGCATAAACAAACACAGATACCGGCGTCAGCGTTGTAGCGACTAGTCACTTCGCTATCGCAAGCAGGAAACCCGAGTTCGATTTCCAAATGAGAAAATCTACTTTATCAAGATTCCAGTCTTTCTGCTGGGACGTTGTATACCTCTCAGCCCTATGTGGGCCTGGAAGGGAGGGCCGAAGCCCGCCTCCTAAATGATCTAAACTGTGTCGATAGGGAGGTAAAAACACCTATAGAAAAAAAACCATAAAAAAAACCCAGACAAACATAGACAATCAACACACTATTGCTTGTCGCCACTGTGAAACCGCCTGTTTTTGTTGGGGGGGGTTTGTTGTTGTTTTTTTTAGCAAAGCTTATCATGTGTTGCCCAGTGGCCACCGACGTACACATTATACACCATGTCACTGACACACAAAACATGTCATTAGCGTGAGCCTGAGCTCAGCCACATTAAAGAGTAAAAAATGGAATTGGAAAGCAACGGCCCAATAATGGGGTATTCTATTACGATACACAGCGACCCAAACCTACAACTTGACAAACTGTCTGGCTCAAAATTACGACAACCTGGCTTCGTTATGTTTCTTAGGAATATTGAATTCTTTTTTTTTTTTCAGGGCTGAAGAGTGTGTAGTTTGTTGTTTTTTAAAGTGACGAAAAGGTCGATGCCACCAGACGTGTATAAATATAAAGATGATCTATGGTTGCGTAAAGAAATCGATAAGAACAGAGAAAAGACATGAGTCTGCACAACTCAACAAGTGTTGTCTAAGGTAATGTAAGATATCCACGTCATTGCTGGAGCCTTACGTTTGGTCACAAAGCTTCTGCTTTGTTAAATATTCATGTGACTTATTTCGTATCGTTTTCACCTATAGTATAGCGTTCTCATGCTTTTAAAGGCCCATTTCTATATATTAACGATCTACTCTCTCTCTCTCTCTCTCTCTCCCTCTCTCCCTCTCTCTCACACACACACACACACACACGCACGCACACACACACACACGCACACACACACGTACGCACACACACACGCACGCACACACACACGCACGCACACACGCACGCACGCACGCACGTACGCACGTACGCACGCACGCACGCACGCACGCACGCACACACACACACACTCACACACAAACAGCACACAAATTCATAGAAGCAGTCGACTCTTCACCCCACACCCTCTACAAACGTCCGCTCTTTTCCACGCCTATCGCAGCATATCGCAACTTTTCAAACGATTCCCCCAGAGTGAACTTCTTCTCATGAACTGCCCAGGTCCTGCTGGGCTCCATAAAATGTCAGACAAGGACAGTACCCTGTCTGGCTGATCGATAAAGGTCACAATGTTCGGAAGGCCGCTTGCATGGACATACTATTGGGAGAGCCATGGTTTTTCGTGAGCGTTAAGGATATCAGAGATGTGCGCTCTGTCTGTCTGTCTGTCTGTCTGTCTGTCTGTCTGTCTGTCTGTCTGTCTGTCTCTTTCTTTCTCTCTCTATATATATCTATCTCTCGCTATTTTTCCCTCTTCCTCTATATATGTCTATTTCTCTCCCTCTTCCTCTATATATCTATCTCTCGCCATTTCTCTCCCTCTTCCTCTATATATCTATCTCTCGCCATTTCTCTCCCTCTTCCTCTATATATCTATCTCTCGCCATTTCTCTCCCTCTTCCTCTATATATCTATCTCTCGCCATTTCTCTCCCTCTTCCTCTATATATCTATCTCTCGCCATTTCTCTCCCTCTTCCTCTATATATCTATCTCTCGCCATTTCTCTCCCTCTTCCTCTATATATATCTATCTCTCGCCATTTCTCTCCCTCTTCCTCTATATATATCTATCTCTCGCCATTTCTCTCCCTCTTCCTCTATATATCTATCTCTCGCCATTTCTCTCCCTCTTCCTCTATATATCTATCTCTTGCCATTCCTTTCCCTCTTACTCTATATATCTATCTCTTGCCATTTCTTTCCCTCTTACTCTATATATATATCTCTTGCCATTTCTCTCCCTCTTCCTCTATATATCTATCTCTTGCCATTTCTCTCCCTCTTCCTCTATATATCTATCTCTTGCCATTTCTCTCCCTCTTCCTCTATATATATATCTCTTGCCATTTCTCTCCCTCTTCCTCTATATATCTATCTCTTGCCATTTCTCTCCCTCTTCCTCTATATATCTATCTCTTGCCATTTCTCTCCCTCTTCCGCTATTTTTTCTTTCTCTCGTTCTCTTTCTCTCATTATTCACCTGCAAGTCACTCACTCACACTGTCTGTAAGTCTGTCTGTCTGTCAGACTCTTCACTCAGGGGGCTCTCGTGGCCTAGAGGTTAAGGTGTTGGCCTCTCATTCAAAGGTCCCGGGTTCGATTCCGGGTAGCAACCAAAACATTTTCTTCTCTAAAATTGTCTCTTTTCACATCCTTTCCTGATCTCTAACAATGTTCTGTTGTCTGCTTTCATTTCCACTTTCTGCCCCCACCCCCTCACCTCCTTTGCCCCCTCCTCTGGGCCCCTGACTCTTTCTGCAGCCTTTCTACTGCTACTCCTTGGCTCCTCCTAACTGCTGTCTTTCTGCCACACCCCTGATCTTCTGGTAGGAAAGATCTACACCTAGCCTTCTCGGACAAGGGCGAAAAATCTCGGAGGGCCCGTGTGCAAGTTGCGCACGTTAAAGATCCCTTGGTGGTCTAAAATCGATAAGAGTAGGCTTCGGCCGCCTCCCGGGCAAAATTCAAAATTGCCTACCAACGAAAAAGTATTAGGTGTGTCCCGCGCACAAACAGACTCTTCACTCATCGCCATCCTATCCCATCACAAACGGACAGCCGGGTAAATGGACGAATAAACGAACCGAAAAGGTAATGTTGGGTAGACAAACAAATAAATTGATGGGCTGATGGATGAACTGAAAGACAGGAACAGAAGAGTGACAGCACAAATGACATGAGTAAAAGGAACAGATGTGGGGCGTCTCTGAAAGCGAGCGAGTTCCACAAGATTCTGTCAGCTAACTTAAGCATTCCATCGTTCAGTTGTAAGATGGATTTTCAATATTGTGAGCAAGACTGGAATGAACCTTTCTTTTTTTTTCGGTAAGAGTTTTACAGCACTT